GCCGCCCCCCGCACGACACGCGCCGGCGGATGCACGCAGGACCACTTCCTGGCCTGCATGTCGCACGAGATGCGCACGCCGCTCAACGGCTTGCTCGGCATGCTGCAGTTGGCGCTGCTCTCCGAGGAATGCGCGAATACCACCGAGCTGAAGCGCCAGCTGCAGCAGGCAGCGCTGCCGACAGCGCCCTGTCCGACAGCGCCAACCTCTCTCTCCCTCTCCCTCTCCCACCCCGCCCCAGCCCCCCGCCCACCGCTCTCCGCCCTCTCGTCTCTCCCGCCGCATTGCTCGCGCACGCGCACCGCCGTGGCACCGCTGCGGCACCGTTGCGGCACCGCCGTGGCACCGATGCGGCACGGCTGTGCACCGTGTTCCCTTTTTGCCGCGCCTCCGCACACTCTTGTGCTGCCGCGCTTCTGGAGGGGCGGCGGCCGCGCTCCTCGGCTGACTCGTCGTCTACCTCTGCCTCTCAGGCGCGCAACTCCGGGACCCTGCTGCTGAACTTGATCAACGACTTGCTCGACACGGCGCGGTTGCGGTCTGGTCAGCTCTCGCTGGAGCCGTGCCACTTCGAGCTGCTGCCGACGGTGCGGGAGTCGGTCGACGTGTTGCGCCATCGCGCCAGCGAGAAGGGCCTGCGCTTCATCTTCGAGATGGACCCGGCGTTGGAGGGCGTGAGGGTACACTCGGACCCGACGCGGCTCTCGCAGGTCCTCCTCAACTTGCTGTGGGATGAATGATCGACTGACGAATCAACTAACTCAATCATGAACAGGTCCTCCTCAACCTGCTGTGGAACGCCATCAAGTTCACGGCGGCAGGCGAGGTGCGGCTCACCGCGAGCCAAGTCTCGCGGAGCGACGAGGCGTGCGGGGTGCGAATCGAGGTCTCCGACACCGGCATCGGCATCGCCGGGGACATGCAGGAGGCCGTCTTCGAGTGTGGCCGCTCCATCGGCCGCAAGAGCTTGACGAGCCGCCTCTCGTCCCTCGACATCTCCGGCCGCTCCTCCATGTCCGAGCGCGCGCCCAGCTCCCCTCGGACGCCGACAGGCGCGCGGTGCACCGCCCGCCTTGGCCGTCGCCATCGCCGTCGCCATCGCCGTCGTCGCCGCCATCGCCGTGCACCGACCACCCCCCCCCCCCCTCTGCCCAGGCTCGTCGCCTGGCATCCCGGGCGCGGGCCTCGGCTTGTACATTTCGCGCCAGCTCGTGGTCCTGCTCGGCGGCACGCTCGCCCTCTCCTCGGAGCTCGCCGTCGGCACCGCCGCCTCGCTCAACCTCACCCTGCGAGCCGGGCCGCCCCTCACTCGCTCTCGCTCGTGCCGCTGCACAGGTACGTCCGTCTCGCTCGAGCTCACGCTGCCGATTGCGACGAGCGGCGAGGAGGAGCCGGCGCGGCCGCCGTCGGCGCGGAGCCCGCAGTCGCCGCTGCCCAGGTTTAGCGTGCTGCTGGTCGAGGACAACGACTTCAACGTCGAGGTGTGCAAGCAGCTGCTCGAGCACATGGGCCAGCGCGTCTCGGTCGCGATGGACGGGCGCGATGCCGTGGGTGCTGTCGTCAGCTCGCTCGCCGACGGTGAGAGAGCCCGCGGCGGGTGGCGCGCCCGATCTGCCCCGGCACTCGCGCCAGAGCCCCTTCCCCCCACCTTGCGAAGGCGCACACGAGTTCGACGTGATACTGATGGACTGCGACATGCCCGTCATGAACGGCTTTGAGGCGTGTGCGGCGTTCCGATTCGCCGCCCCTCCGGCCCCACGGTCTGACTCTCGCTCACCGCGGCGCGCGTAGGCGACGGCCCAGATCCGGAGGATCGAGCGCGAGCAGAACGTCGCCAAGCCAGTCACCATCTGGGCGCTCACCGCGCACGCGATGAACTCGGTCAAGGCGCAGTGCCTCGAATGCGGAATGGACGCGTTCTTGACCAAGCCACTGATGCTGCCGGTGTTGCGCGAGCGGCTCGAATCACTCGCCTGATGCTAGGATAGATGAACTTCGGCCCGGGTTGTTGTCTCTCTCGCAGCGCGCGCCTTTACAGTGTCTCGCGCGGCGCGCCGGATCCTCGAGAGAGCCATACCACCGTACAGCCATGAGACGAGATGTGTACGCGCGGAAGCGGAGACCAAACTTTATATCACATGCGTTCGATGTTGCGAAATTTACGTATTACGACCCTGGTCGGGAGAAAGACACGAACGTGTGTATATATCTATACAGTGCGAGGCGTGGCGATAGAAATCGGGGCGTCGGCATCCAGCAGCCGATTTCTGTTTCGGCGAGGGAAATCGGGCGAGCCAGCAGCCGATTTCTGTAAGCGATTTCTGCCAAAATTTTCTTCGGCGCTGCGCGCCGGTCACTATACGGTCTAGATACTAGTACACTAAAAGGTTGCCCTGAGATACGAATTCAATCCTCCCGCTTAACCTTTATTTCGTGTGTGCGTGCTCGCTCGTGCCTCGTGCGCCGAACCAAGTTCTGCTTCAACAAACCCGTCGAGAGGCCACGTCACGCCGGTGTCCCCTTTTTCTGCATCTTTGTGGGTGTGGCAGCCCACTTTGCCAGTCCCTAGAGGTGTCTTTGACATTTGACTTCGATGTCTGGTGGGGGACGATTTATGTCTGGTGGGGGACGCAGGTGCTCAAAGGTTGCGGGCGTGTCACCACTCGCGCCTTCGCTCTCGACACTGGGTTCTGGACATGCAACGACATGCCGAAAAGGGAGCGATCCGCGGCGCAGGCACGCGCTGAGGCCGTGTATAGACGCGCCAATCCGGATGATAGGGGCGATCGGGGCCGTGACCGCAGGGCCGAGAAGGTCGAGTACAGACGCAGACTCAAGAAAACGAGAGCGGAGGCCGCCGCCCTCGCGGTGCCTGACGCTGCTCCTGCGGCTCTCGTTCCCGTCCCGATTCCGTCTACCGTCCCTCGGCCACGGGCCCTCGGCCAGCACGGCAGGGGCCACCTGCTCGTCGCGAGGCAGCCGAGCTTGGCACTTCCGCCGCCCCTCGCCGCTCTTCCACCTACAATTGCTCCTCGCCTCGTCGCTCCGATCCCGCCTTTGGCGCCGACCGCGAGCCGGTACGGCGGCCTCGCCCTGCGCGACATCGCCTTTGGCAGCAGCCAGGGTCGCCTCGGCAAGGGCGGCCAAGGCACCGTTAGGCTTGGCCGCCACTACGGTGGTCGTCTCGCGGTGAAGCAGCCGCTGCGCGCGAGCAGCGCCTTCGCCTCCGAGTGTCAGATCGCGGCAGCACTACACCATGAGAACATCATCTATGTGATGGGCTTTGCATGCGCCCCGCGCGAGACGCCGTTCCTCGCTCTCGACTATGCCGACGCAGGGACTCTGGGAGATTTGTTGATCGGGGATCAGAGGGGCGAGAGCCGCTCCCTCGGCGTGCAGATTGCAAGAGCAATGTCGTACCTGCACACGCGATCTCCCCCCATCGTGCACCTTGACCTCAAGCCATCGAACGTGCTGCTGTCGGCGCGCTCTGAGGGGCTTGTCGCTAAGCTGTGTGACTTTGGGCAGGCGAGGCGACTAGCCGTTGGGGCGCAGCTCTCGCACTCAGGCACGCCGGGTTGGCGGGCGCCCGAGCAGGTGCGGGTGGCCCGCGACTTTGCAGTCGTGCCGCTTTCGCGTGGCACCGACGCCTGGTCGCTAGGGTGTGTCCTGGCTGCGCTCGAGGCGCCGTCGGGCGTCTGCGACCCGTACCACTTCGCCACGGGCGACGCGCCAGGCAAGTGCGACTCGCGCCTCCGACACGAGCTCGACGCAATCGTCGCGAACGGCTTCACCCGCCCGTGTGTGCCCGATGAAAGCCGGCTTGCAGGTGTGGTCAGCGCGTGTACGCACGCCCTGCCTAGCGAGCGAGCGACGTGCGCGTGGGTGCGCGCCGAGCTCGAGCAGCTTCTGCTGCAGCCGTGAGCGCAGAGAGTGACGCGCGAGTGACGGGCGAGGCCGATTGTCGATCTCTTTTCTGGTTGGTGCCATGTTTTGAGGGTGTATGAAATCTGTAATTGTCAAATGACACCCGGCTAGGCCGACAGCCCCCCTCCCCCACTCGCCGCGCTAACAGTCTCGCACAAAATAAACAGCCGGGAGCCGGGTCAGGTCGTGTGGGCACAGCCTCAGCAGACACAGCCTGCGCGACGAGCCGGCCCGCCTAGGCAAAGGGCGAAAAGCAGAGGATCGCCGCATTCACGCCGTTGCGGCGCGACGGCGTCAGTCCCTCCGGCGTGACGGGCGGCGCGGTAACACGCGCCCGTTTCTTGCCGCCGGCGTTGACCGGAGCGGTCGAGGACGACGCAGCGGCAACTACGCCGTTGACGGGAGCCGGGCTCGGCTTCGGCATGCGCGAGAAGAATTTGTGAAGTGTCCCATGCTCGCTTTCTGGCGAGAGGGCCATCAGGCGCTTGAGCGCATCCTCCTTGTACTTGGTCACCATGTGGGCCGGGAGGTCTCGGGCTTGGCGGCGCGTCAGCGGCGGCACGACCGGCTCGTCGAGGGGGTTCTTCGTGGCGGCGACCTTGCGCTTGTGCGCGCGGACGTACACCTTGCGGACGCGTGGCTGAGGGCACTCTCCCGAGGGCGGCATGGCGACTTGCTGTGGATGTAGTCGATGTGTGCAGTGTGCAGGATTTGCACCCTTTTTGCATTCATCCTGACACGCTGAGTGACACTACGCGAGCAGCACCCATGGAGGCGCTGGTCAACACTGTGCTGCTGGCTGCACACCCGAGCCTTCGCGAGCGCTGCAACGCCGCAAAGGTCGTGTCGGTCCTCGAGGAGCTCGGGGCGTACGACTCGTCCGCACTGCGGTCACTCCTCTCGTCGTTCACCGACACCGTCGCACACAAGCTGAAGGAGGAGGAAGCAGCACCGCCAGCTCTGGTCGCCGCGCTGGCGACGCATGTCGACTCGGGCAGCCTATCAGAGCCTCAGAACATCGGCGGCGCGATGGACGCGACAGCTGCAACCTCCTCCTCGAGCAGCGCCGCCGCTGCTGTCACCCCGAGGACGGTGAAGGCCGGCGGCGGCAAGCATAGCACGCTGCAGCAGAAGTCGATCGGCGCGTTCTTTGCTGGTGGCACCAGGACTACGTACGCGACGCTGCCGGGCATAGGCCGTCAGATCAGATCCGTTACCTCGCTCACGCCCGAGCAGCTGCAGGCTGTGGGCAAGGCGCCCGAGAAGTTCACGTCGTGCGCCAAGGGCTGTGGGCAGACATTCTTGCACGGGCCTGCGCGCGTTGCGCACGAAAAGTTCTGCAGCGGTCGCGCGGCCGAGACGGCCGCCGAAGTCGCCGCCGCCGCAGAGGCTGCCGCCTCCGCTGCCACCACCACCCAGCCCGCCACCGCCGTCACCGAGGCTGCCGCCGAAGCCGCTAACAGCAGCGACGACGAGCAGCCACCCGCGAAAGCACCAAAGCTGCGCGCGGATGGCGGCATCAAGCAGAGTGGGCTCCGCCAGGGCGAGAAGAAGGGCATGAAACACTCGCTCTACTTTAAGCTCGAGGTGGTGCGCACGCTGCGCAGGTTGCAGAGCCTCGAGAAGCGCTGGGAGAAGGCGCCGAGTGGCTGGCGTGGCGCCGGCATCGAGACGTCGGAGATTCACAAGGGCGTACACCCCTCCCTCGTGTCCAAGTGGGGCGGCAAGGAGGACGAGCTGCACATGGCGCTGCAGCACGAGAACCGCGTCAGCCGTAAGCAGAAGCACCGCACCGGCACGATGGCGACGTTCCAGTCGCGCGGCGCACGGCGGACGACCCTCCATCGCGGCCGCGCGCCGCCTTTCGCTGCGGTCGAGGTGGAGCTGCACAAGCGCTACCGCGACAAGCGGACGCGTGGCGAGCGCGTGACCGGCCAATGGCTTCGCGTCTCCATGAAGCGCCTCGTGCGCGAGTTCGCCGGCGCCGACGTGGCCGACGGCTTCAAGGCGTCCAAGTGGTGGCTGCGGTCGTTCGCGCGGCGCTTCGGCATGTCGCTCCGGCGCAAGTCGAACAGCCGCGCCGAGTCCGTCCTCGTGCGGCTGCCGAAGATCAAGCGCTGGCACGCGCGCCTCCGTCGCCGCCTCCGTGGCGGCCTGCAGGAGAAGCTCGACCCAAAGTGGGGACGCTGGTTGCCGCGCAACCGGCTGAGCGTCGACCAGGTGCCGTGCAACCTCCGAGCGGGCGATGGGCGCACCTACGACGACACGGGCGCCAAGCGCGTCTGGCTGGCGGGGGCGAAGGCTGACGACGGCAAGCGCTTCTGCACGCTGCAGATCGTCGCGCGCGCGAGCAACGGCGACGCCTCGATGCCGCGGCACGGGCAGCCCAAGCTGTGCGTGATCTTTCGCGGCCAGGGCAAGCAGATCTCGCAGAATGAGCGAGATGCGCGCCACCCCGACGTGCAGGTGCGCTTCCAGCCGAAGGCGTGGGCTGACGACCAGCTCTGCGAGGACTTCGCGGACGTGGAGATGCGCGAGGCGACGGCGGCCGCACGCGCCGCGGGCGAGCGGAGCGTCGCCATCTTCGACAACCTCTCCGGCCAGACGACGCCCGAGCACCTGCGCAACCTGCAGCGCCGCGCCCACTGCGACCGCCACCTGCTGCCGACTGGCTCGACGGGCGAGCTGATGCTCATCGACGGCGGCATCGGCGTCCGCCTCAAGAACCTGATGGGCGACGAGATGGACACGTGGCTCGAGCAGCCGGGCCACCTCGAGCGCTGGACCAAGGGCCCCAAGGAGGGTGGCCTCAAGGCGTGGCAGAAGCGTTCGCTCATCACGCAGATCGCGGGCCGAGCGTGGGAGACGCTCTGCGCCACGTATGACTTCGAGAAGTCGGCGCGCAGCCTCGGCCTGCTCATGACTGTCGACGGCTCCGGCGACGAGCACATCTGCGTGCAGGGGGTGACGGACTACACCTTCAAGGACGAGGACGGCGGATCGGACGGCGGGGAGAGCGAGGCGGACGAGGACGAGGCGGAGCTCGCCGATGTCGACGAGGCGGCGGGCGAGGAGGAGGGCGAGGAGGAGGGCGAGGAGGAGGCGGAGGACGGCATGGAGGACTCAGAGGACGAGGACGAGGACGACACCGCCGTGCGCATGCAGGCATGCGGCGAGGCTCCGGCAATGCCCCCGAAGGGCTACGTCTATGCGGCGACGTGCCCGCCGCTGGCGAACGACGACGAGCAGCGCGCGCTGTGCCGGCGCAAGATCCTCGCCGCGCACCTCCTCGACGGCGCCACCGGCTGGTACGTTGGCACCGTGCAGCACTTCGGCGTGGGCTCCTCGTGGCGTCAGCCTGACGCGACGCACATCGTCATGTACTCCCAGAAAGAGACGGGCACCAAGCACCTCGCGGGCCGTGTCGCGTGCAAGCTAGCCGCCGACAACTATGGCGCGAGCGAGTGGTGGCTCCTGCTGGAGCCGGCGCCAGAGAGCTGAGCATGAGGGACTTGACGTGTTGCGTCACTGTTCACGCAAAGACACAACCCCGGGCCCAAGACTCACACTGTTCACACTATAGAGAGGGTGAAAATTGCGTTTCACCATGACTGTAGACTGAGAAGAAAGTGAAAGAACGACCTCTCTCTAAAAAGTCGTATGATTTCTAAAATTTTCTTCGCGCCTGCGGCGCGGCAGATCAGAGAAATCGGGCCGGCCTCGTGCCAGCAGCCGATTTCTATTTCGGCCAGGGAAATCAGCCAAATTTCCAGCAGCCAATTTCTAAACACCGATTTCTAAGGCAAGAGCACGCACTGTATGCCAAACTCCACGCGACAAACCAGAGAGCCGCGATATGTCCGGGTTGGATCGATGGCGCTTCCCGGGAACCGGGGAAGCCGGCTGCCGGGACCGCCGCGGCCGGGGCTCTGTGACAGGAAAGTGTAGATAGCGATCTCACTTTCTCTCACATAGCCGCGACCACTCGCTCACACCAGATGCACGCCAGCCGACACACGCAGCCCGAACTACCAGCTGAATGACATCTGGTCCATCGCGTCGTTGACAGTTAGGCTGCCCACCGGGTACTCAAGGGGCGCGCCGAGCGACGTCAAAGTCCCGTCGTCCGACACCAGCGCCGCCGAGAAGGTGTACGAGGGAAGCTGTCCCGCGAGAGCGGCGTCTACGCGCACCTTCACGCGCTGCCCCCTCGCGACGGATGCGGGCCGCTCGAGCCGTATGCAAATGATCCGCCAGTGGGAGCCGTCCCACGCGGAGGACACGTCGGGCGGGCCGTCCGCCGCGTCGGCCCCGCACCGGAGCTCGACGTGCAAGTTGAGTGCCGCCAGCACGCCCGCCGCCTCGCAGCAGAAGAGAAGCTCGCGCCGCTGCGACGGCGACGGCGATCCCTCATCAAAGCGCAAGTCCTCGCACACTTGCGGGGGAGCGAGCGGCCGTCCCGCCTGCGACCGAGCGTCGAGCTTCAGCGCACGCCCTGCGCCAGCAGCTTTGGCCAGCAGATCCGGGTCTGGCGCCAGGCAGGGCGCGAGAAGGGTTGATGCGCGCGACGGGACAGACAGTGGCGGCCGCGCGGCGTCGGCAACATGGCGGCGCATCGCGTCGAGGATGGCGGCACACGCGCCCTCCTCGCCAGCAACCTCGCCGATGAGCTCGTGCACCAGCAGCTCCGCCCGCTCCGGCAGCTCAAGCGCAAGATCGGTCGAAAAAGCCTCGAGGACGGTGATGCGGTGGTCGAGATTGGCGGACGCCACCGCGGCGCGGGCTGCTGCCGCTGCGCTGGGCTGCCCTTCGAGCGCATACACGTGTCGCGCACCCGCCTCCGCGGCAAAGATCGCTAGCAGTGCAAGCGCGCCAGTGCCTACGTCCAGGACAACCTTGCCGGGAGCAGCGGCGGCGATCGCCTTGCGGTAAGCCTCCGTGCGCGTCACGTCGTCGCGCATGCCACGATAGCAGTCGGCGGTGTATCGCATCGCATGGCCGTGCGGATGGTGGTCGGCGGCCGGCATCGGATGAGGGCGGTGAGAAGAGGGTCCGCTCTGCGTGCACTCTTCACAGCGTTCACTCTTCACAGCGTTCACTCTTCACAGCGTTCACACGAGGCATCGCGACCGTTTCTTGCGGCCATCTTTGATCGAAATCAAGGCTAACCAGCCTAGAGACGACCCCTAGACACTCACCTACCTTGCCGACAGCCCAGTGCGTCCGTCTGAAGCACCCCAAGTACGCCGGTGAGACGCCCGAAACGGGGTGACTTCTAAAAGTCACTCCGCATGTGGGCCGCCTTTGCGGTCGTCTGACGCGCCCTCCGGCCGCCGCACACTCGCCACTCACCCCCTCTCACCTCTAGATGATGCGGCGGCGCGCACGGGGCACTGCGGCTGCCGGCGCCGCGGCGGCCGGCGCCGCCGCCGCCGGCGCAGGCGCAGGCTCAGGTCGCCGGTACGGCGATGGTCGATCGCCGCGTCGCGGCGGGATGCGCTGCTGCGCCCGATGCGACGGCTCCTCTTCGAGCAGGTGCTTGGCAAAGCAGGGCCGGTCAGGGTCGCCAGCTTTGGTCCCGACCGGGCTGATCGCGTAGCCAACCTGGCTCGGGTCCGGGAAGCACTGTGCGCAGTGGTAGGACCGCATGTACCCGCACTGGTGCTTCTTGCTTGAACACGAGCACAATAAACACGAGCACGGGCGCCGTGCCGCCTAGGGCTGTCCGCCTCAATTGTCGCACGGCGCATCGAATTCGCGCAGACCAATGTAGTCGATGCCGGAGCGTGCGCATTGGTATTGAGAGGCTGAGGTCGGCGGCGTCGCGCAGTAAGCGCAGTAACGCATGCAGACGATTTGGATACCGGCGCTTGCGTGGGAGCGAACACAGCGTCGGCCGCGGTGTGCCGGCGAATGTGGTGGTCCTCTTGTCCACTGCGTCCGAGCCGAACCAGCTGTCCACACGAGAAGCGGCGGCGCGCGGGCGAGCCACGACGAGGTCAACCGTCTCGACCAGTCAGCCTCCGGCACAGCATTGGGTGCCTGCATGTCGCCGGGACTGCGGCGCTTGAGTGTCATCGCGTAGCGGTGCGGAGGCAGCGCCGTGTGCGCCTCTTTCGTACGCTCGAAGTGCTCCAAGCAAGTGCTCCAAAGCCGTTTGAACCGCGCCCAAGCTGCTCTAGGAGCCTCTCCCATCGCGGCCCGACTGGGGCCGAGTCCGCGGGGCTCGCACGGTGCACGGGCCGGCCACTAGAGCACGTACTGAGTACTGTGCGCGCGCCGGGGCGAGTGACTTCGAGAAGTCACTAAGTCACTTCTTCGAGTCACTCCTAGAGATTTGCCCGCCAAAAGAAAGCCAATTCTTGACTTGGGCCCTCGGGGAGGCCTGCGGGCGGCCTTCTCTCGAGGTCTCGAGATACACAAAGCGGCCAACCTAGAGATAGACACGTGTGTGTGTGTGTGTGTGTGTGTGTGTGTGTGTGTGTGTGTGTGTGTGTGTGTGTGTGTGTGTGTGTGTGTGTGTGTGTGTGTGTGTGTGTGTGTGTGTGTGTGACACACACTCACACACACTCAAACACAAAGGTATTGCTAAAAAAGCAGCACACACTCCTCCCATCCTTCGTTTGGGTTCACGGGACTGGTGCGCAGCACGGAAAAGAATTTGTAGCCCCCACGGGACCGCGTAAGCACTCCTGCGGGCGGATTCGACATAGCGGAGATACTCGTACGTCCGGTCACACATGGCCCCCCAAAATGGTTTCGCCCTTTTGCCTATGGGCCGTGTGGTGGGCGCTCCCGCTCACTTGCGCGAGGAGCGCGCTGATGCAAGCTCAGATGGCAGCCAAGGAAAGGGCGTGGTCGGCGATGGCTGCAAACGCCTCTGCCTACCCTCACGTGGCGTCTGGCGCTGCGCAGTGCGTCGACGGCGTTGCCGCTGGGGAGTTTAGCTGCTCTGGCGTGGACATGCTGTCCCTGACGCCGCGCACGGCGCTCCACGTGGGCACAGCAGACTTTTGCTCCGACCTATGGGGCTGGGTCCACCCAACGACTGGCGTCGAGTACGCCCTTCTCGGCATGCTCGACGGCGTCGCGTTTCTCGACATCTCAGAGCCGACTAGGCCGCAAGCCGTCGGCTGGCTACCGGGCGCCGGCTCGCCGGCGGGTGGGTCGTGGTGGCGCGATGTCAAGACGTTCCGCCACTACGCGCTGATCGTCTCCGATGACATCGAAAACTCGGGGCTGCAGGTCCTTGACTTGCTGACTCTGCCAGACAAGTCCAGCCTCGACCCGACTCTGCCGCCGCCGACGCTCGCGCCCAGCGCCGAATACCACGGCTTTAGCCGGGCCCACAACATCATCGTCTCGCCGGGTGCGGCGCCCTCCCCACCCGCGTCTCCGAGAGTCGCGCGCGCTTGCCAAGGCAAGGCTCTCGCGCCAAGGCTCCCCGCCGGCAAAAGGGTCGAGCGCCGCAACGCGCCGCCTCCGATAGCGGCCCGACCCTGCCCTCTCCCCCTCTCCGCTCTCTCCGACCGCCTGGGGCGTGTTGAGCAGGCAAACCCTTTGCGTTCATTGCTGGCTCTACGGGCTCAACGAGCGAGCCCTGCGGCCTGCAGGTTATCGATGTGTCTGACCCGACACGCCCAGAGCACGCTGCCTGCTACACGGGCGTCGGGTGGGTCCACGACGGTCATTGCGTTGTGTACCACGGGCCCGACACGGATCATGTGGGCAAGGAGATATGCGTCACCTTCAACGCCGCCGGTGGACGCTACGATGGCGGCGGCCTGGGGCCTGGCGACGTCTCGATTCTCGATGTGACCGACAAGCGCAACATCCTCCTCCTCTCACGTTTCACCTACCCTGCCGTCGCCTACCCGCACCAAGGCTCGCTGCTGGAGGATCACGCCATCCTCGCGTTTGGCGACGAGCACGATGAGGCACTCAGCGAGGACACTCTGCGCGAGGCGGAGAAGTATCTCATCGGCGACTCGTGGCGCGAGGCGCAGCGAATGCCTGCCCTCGCGGCCGGACGAACGCGCACGCTGCTCTACGACATCTCCGATCTCGACCGTCCCTTGCCAATCGGGGAGCACTACTCCGCAGAGACAGCCATCGGCCACAACATGTACGCGGCCAAAGGGTACTTGTGGCAGGCCAACTACTGCGCTGGGCTGCGGGTACTCACCCGCGCCGTCGCCGCCCCGGGCGACCTCCGCGAGGTTCGTGAATGCGCATGAGATCCGGACCCGAAGCGAGCTTGAAGGCGCATCGTTTTTGTTAGGTGGCCCATTTCGACGTCAGCTCCGGCTGCGACACGAGCGAGTTCATGGGCGCGTGGAGTGTCTACCCCTACCTCCCATCCGGAAACCTTCTCGTTTCGGGGGTGGAGCGCGGGCTCTTCGTCCTCCGACCAAGCTTCCTCGCGGACGAGCACGCCACTGTGGTCGCTGCTGTGCACGCGCAAGACGACGTCACCGCGGCTGACGTGTCTTGCCTTGAGGTTCCCCGCTGTAGCTTCCCTGGCCCACGTCCTCCTCCCCCTCACTCGCCGCTCCCAAGTAGTTGCACCGCCGCATCCTGCCGCCAGGTCACCATCGTCGTCATTCCCGGCTGGAGCGTGCGAAGATCCGCACAAGACCCGCGCTTTTGTGTCGGAGAGAGGTTGCGTCAGCCGCCAGTCTTGTGGTGGGCGATTGACACGGCGCTGGCGCCGTCCTACGTTTCCGGCTGCGCCGTCTCCCATGAGTCGTGCCCGCAAAAGGACCTCGAGGACTGGTCGGGCGTCGACTCGCTCATCTCGCCCGGTGTGTCGCTGTTTCTTCTGCTCGTCTGCCAGTTTCTACCCGTCCCCGACCACCCCCTCTTCAAGGCGGTGGCGCCGCCGCCGGAGGACGACGATAAGTCTACCGAGCAGGTGGAGTCATCCGTGAATGCCGGGATGGAGACGGCGCAAGCGTAAGTCCTGGAGAAGCAAGCAAGGGGTGTTTTTTCTCCGAAAACATTTTTTGCGGACGTCGCACAAGCAGTTGCTGACCCACAGCCGAAGCGCGGGCCACTCGCTCCAAGGGCTGGCAAGCGGTGCACGCGGGATTTTTCTCTGACGGGGTTTTCGAGGCGTCACTCCCCAAAATCATTTTTGCGAATTTTTAGGAAAAAAATTCGAGGCAGGACCCCTTTCAGGCCCATTTCTGGCCGCCACACAAGCCATTACCGCGGCGATTGTGGGCTTTTTGACCATTTTTTCTCTTTTTTGCGGCGGAGGCCTGGGCAAGCTTTTCCGCGGTTTTCGGCCGCAGACAGATGGGCTGACTAACATTAGCTACCGGACAGTTGTCCTGGACACCAGCGCGGTCGGTAAGAGAGAAAGAGAAGCTCCGAATTCTTTCCGCGCTAATCCCCAAGAGAGCGTGTGCCTCGTATCCTGACGAGTAGAGGCCCCGCCCACCCAGGGTACCCTCTCCGAGGACCCATTTGGGTAGCTCTTTCGAGGACTCGCCCCGGGCCGGGGCTCTGTTCCGAGAGACCTCGAGACAGCGCGTGTGCCTCAACTCGCCAGGCGTGTGCCTCGTATCCGTGCTAAGACGGACAGTGACTGACAGGGAACGCCGCCATCTGGCCATATATGGGATTCAAGCAGGGCGACGTGGAGCAGGACTACGAGCGGCGGCCGCGCGCGAGCAAGGAGGACGGCCCGGCGGCCGGCCGCGAGCTGCTCCCGGTCCGCGAGGGTGGCAAGTGGCAGCGGCGCACAGCACCGGCTCCCAAAGGCGAGCCGCAGACCAAGAAGGGCAAGCAGCGCGCCAAGGCTCGTGCTCAGGCGTCCGCCGCTGCCGCTGCTGGCAGCGCGCCGGCCGCCGAGCTCTCGCTCTCCCAGAAGCGCGCCACGATCGCAAAGCTGTCGGCGCAGCTGCTGCACTCGCCGCACAAGAACATCGGGCTGCTCAAGGAGCTGCACGAGCTCGCGTCGCGGGACGTATCGCCGGCGACGCGGCGGATGGCGGCGCTGAGCTGCGTGGCGGTGCTGCGCGACCTCATCCCGGCGTACCGCATCCGGCTGCCCACCGACAAGGAGCTGGCGATGCAGGTGTCTTCCGAGGTGGAGGCGCTGCGTGCGTACGAGAGGCAGCTGCTTCGCGGGCACGAGGCGGCGGTGGGCCTGCTGCGCGGCTGGCTGCGGAGCGGCGAGCAGCAGCAGCGGCTCGCCGCGGTGCGCGGGCTCGCCGCCCTGCTCGAGAAGGGGCGCGACTTCAATGGCGTTGACCAGCTGATCGGCGGGCTGGTGAGACGACACTTCCGAGACACTTCCCACCTTCTCGGCTGATGTCGGCACGCACTCTCGGCCCCCGCAAGCCGCCGTGGCCGCCACCCGCCGCCTCCGGGCCCGCCCAGCTCGCGCCGCCGCACCTCCACAGCGCGCCCACGCCACGTCGCCGACGCGTGCACGTCCACGTCCACGTCACGTCCACGCAGGTGCCGTCCTGCAACTCTGCCGACGACGAGGAGCGGGCGGTGGCGTGCGGAGCGCTCACCGAGCTGTTTGGCGCGGACGTGGCGGGCGAGGCGACGCTGCTCGCGGTGCGCTCGATGGCCGCCCTCCTCAAGACGAGCTCGTTCAGCGTCCACCCTTCGATGCTCGAGTGCTGGCTCTCGCTCCGCTTGGACGCGTCGGCGGCGGCAGCCGCTGCGTCGGCCGAGAAGGAGCGCTTCGGCGCGCGCAAGGGGAAGAAGCGGCGGAGGGGCATCGACCCTGTCGCGCGTGAGCTCGCCGCCGCCTCGGGCGACCGAGGCGAGGGCATTCCGCTCGACCTGCCCCCCCCCCCCCCCCCCACTTCCGCACACGCACACACACCCGCCCCGCCCCACCCCTGCCCTCCCCCCACACACCTGCCCCGCCCCACCCCGCCCGCCCATCACCCGCCCCACCCCGGCCCGCCCGCCCACCGCCAGCCTTCCGACACTCTCCGCCCGCTCCTCAGGCGACGTCGGCCTCAAGTCGGCGGCAGTGCTCGAGCAGCTCTTCGTCTCGTACGCGCGCGTCGTCAAGGCGCGCCCCGGCGGGCCGCTGATGCCGCTCGTGCTGCGCGGGATCGCAAAGTTTGCCCACTGCGTCAACGTCGAGCTGCTGCTCGACCTCGTCTCCAATTTGCGCACCATCCTGCGCGACCCGGCCGCCCTCTCCACGCCGGCGGCGCTGCACTGCGTCCACGCGCTGCTCCGCCTCCTCTCTGGCCACGGCGCGAACCTCGCCGCCTCTCCCTCGTTCACTCAACCCGCCCGCTCACTCCCTCACTCACCCGCCTCTCACCCACCGTCGCGAAGCCTCCTCCTCCTCCTCCCAGGCGCAGCGCTCGCCGTCGACATGCGCGACGTGCAGCAGCGCCTCTACTCGCTTCTCGCGGAGCAGGCACAGCCATCGCCCCCGTGCCTCGACCCCATGCCACGCCGCCCCGACCACACCCGGACCACACGCCCCAAACACCTCGCCCCTTGGCGCATGCCCCGACCACCTCTCGGCTTTCGCGCCCGCCGCGTGCGCGCGCCCGGCCCACCGACCCGCCTCCTCCGCTGCCGCAGGCTCTGCTCGCCGACACGCGCCTCCTCGCCACCGCACTCGACTGCCTCGACCACCTCTGCCGCCAGCGCTCGGCGCTGCTCGCGCCGCGCATCGCCTCCTTCTTTTGCCGGCGCGTCGACCCTAGATGCTGCAGTGCACATCCTCGCGCTCGAGAAGACCCGCCCACCAGCTGCCTTCCGCCACACTCAAGCCGCATCGTTTGCACTCGCAGCCCTCGCATTCCTGCAAGGCGCCAGCGTGCATTGCACGACCCCGTCGTCACACCCCCAGCCCACCGCACGCGCGCTCCAGGCTCGTCGACGCCGCCGCCACCCTGCCTCACGCGCACGCCGTCGCCCTCCTCGCCGCCGCCTCGCGGCTGCTCGTCGCGTGCCCTCGCGTCACGGCGCTGCTCGACGGGACAGACCGCGCCGGCCCGCCGCTCGCGCCGGCGCGTGCCGACGAGCGTGAGGACGTCGACTCTCCGCGCGCCATCAACTCGACGGCGTGGCAGCTCGCCCTGCTCCACCGGCACTACCACCCCGTCGTGGCGCAGCTCGCGAAGCGACTCGCAGCCGCAGAGCCGCTCCCGCCCGCCCTCGGCCGATCGACGCCGCTGCGGCTGATGGCGACCTACTCGGACGCCTCCGGCGCCTTCAACCCGCCCCCGCAGCCGCCCTCCAAGCGCCGCCGTGCCGCGGACGCCGCCAAGCGCGCCGCAAGCAGTAGCGGCGGCGGAGAGCTGCACGAGTCGATAGAGGCTGCCGTGGCGCGAGCCGGCGGCGGAGAGGCAAGCAGCGCGCTGGACTTTGCGGTCTTGCTGCGGTGAGGGCGCGCGCGGCACCGCGGTCCGGTGGACTCGGGCATCGGCTCCTACCCCCGCAGTGGGGCGTGGGGGTCGTCGAGCTGTGACGGTGTGCTCGAGCACAGTCCGAGGTTTGATCGTACAGACCGGCGCATATAGGCGGTGCATATACATTAATCGCCACACACGCGGCGGGTTTCACTAATTCGTCTCCTAAAGTCGCATTTTTGCCATTTCGCGCTTACGGCGTAATCGATCACGAGGCTCGTTGTGCGAGTATATGGGCCACGATGTCTCAAATATGAGGGGTTTTGACTCCTACCAGCTCCTGACGCTATCCCTGGCAGCTCTAATGGCCAGGATCAGTAGTGTTGTGATAGAGGGTGCCCATACTAGCGCAGGAGCTGCCACACTCGCCCGGACCGTCCCCTTCTGGGGCCGGTTCCGCAGCCCGCGAGAGCCGACCGCGGGGCTGTGCCGCGGGTGCCTACTGCCGAGTGCCACAAACACTGCGCCGTCCCGCCATCACCTACAGGCTGTCTTGTGTGATGGTTGGGATGTCCAAACGCCACCATCTTGGCTCTTGCGACCTCAAACCCGCGAGCTGTATGGGTGGTCCTGACGTCGACAGACGCCCGATGACCACGGTGAAGCTGAGCCGGAACGCGTCGACAAGTCTCGTCTGAGCCCGTGGCGGTCGCCGGCTGAGTCGCCGTACACGAGCCGGTACCTCAGGCGTCACCTCCGCAGCCTCAGGTCTCACACTCCATCACCTCCGCCGGGACGCCGTCGGTGGCACGTTCGGCGGCGAGTTTGTGGCAGCTCCACAGCGAGCGCGGCGTCGAGCCTACTCACTCCAGTTGGTTCGGCACACTCGGTGGGGTCCACCGAGTGTGCCGAACGCGCGAGCGGTGCGTCCTGGCAGCCCGCGCTGGCTGCGGAGCTGCCACAAACTCGAGACACGCTTTTTGGGACATTTTCGACGCTTTTGGCCCATATACTCGCACAACATGCCACGACGCAGTTCCGCTCTCCACGAATGACACTGGACTCTGTTTTATTTTTTGTGCAATTCGTGTGGACTGGCAAGAGAGAAGAGTGCGCACACTTTCATGCATCTCATGTGCTGCTGCTGGCACGGCACTCTGCACATTGCAGGGCCGTTCACGGTTTTGTGTTTACACGGCTGATCTCTCTCTCTCTCTCGACGCCGAGGTGTGCTAACGTAGTTGTACGCGGAGTGTAAAGCAACCGCGGCCCGGCGATGCGGAAGAACTGTACGAATACATATGTAGGTACGTGGCAGCTAACAGGTACTGCGCAGCGGAGCCATGTGTCCGCCAAGGCGCGATAGGCCGTTGACGCCGAGGAGGCCCGCCATGGCGAGAAAGGCCTTGGGGAAGTCGGCGGGCAGCAGGCAGGCCACCTCGGCCTCGAAGCCCGCCCTCTCGTTCAGCTGGCGCGGTATCATCTCCTCCAGCTTGCCCATCACCTTCTCCATTGTGAGCCGCCTCATCTTCTCGGCGAGCACGTCCTTCAGGCCGAGCCAATCCGCCGCGAGCAGCATCCAGCCCGACACCTGCCCCACGCGCGCATTCTTGACTCCGATGGTTTCCACCAGCTTTTCCAGCTCCAGGTCGGTGGCGGTGACCTGTATCAAGTCTCAGCACCGCCCAGCGAGCGCGTGGGCGTGAACAACTCTGGACTCTGGTAGCGCTCCTTCAAAGTACAAAGAATTCGCGCCACACACTCGCCCGCATCTAACGGAGCGTGTCAACACCTCCCGAGGGGCGGTGTTAACACGTTTGAACACCTCTACGGCTGTGGTGTTAACCGTAAAATTTGAACGTTAATCCACCAGCCCTGGTTGGGCAGGTGTGAACAACACCTCGTGACCACGGCGCCGTAGGCGCCTGTTGATGGTTCCAGGTGATAGCCCTGGATGGGCAATGCATACGCCTAGTTGGACCTCAGATCGCCCGACCGCGTCCCGGTGCTCTGTGGTCGGATTTGTGGCGCCGCCGCACGCCGCGCCGCGGCCAGGGAGGGGCCCTCCGGAGGCCAAGGATGGCCGTGGCGGACCGGGACGAGCTCTGGGAGGTAGAGTGTCAGTGTAATATTGTAGATACTGACCATGTGCACAATATCTCTCAGTCTAGCTAAGCCAGGGGAGGCGATGCCGGGGCCGTACAGCAGCTTGATGGTTGGTTGCTTCGCCGGCGTGCGTCCCGGAGCGGCCTGGCTGGGCGGTCCGGGGGAGAAAACTCGAATTCCGACACCGCTCTGATTCGACTTTAACTTCAAACAAAGACGGCGGCACGTGCCGCGCCGGCGTGCCGGGGGGCCGCGTCCATCGGACAAGAGTACAGGTACGAGTAGTGTTCACTGCGCGACGATCGTGAATACCGGGTACCTCCAGTTTCGTAGTCTTTGTTAGTATCGAGGCTAATCCCGGGCTGTCAAGCGGCGGTGTGGTGCCGTGAAGGGCAGCGGTGCCAAAACTACGACTATTAGTACCGTGCGGGGGCAGTGCATTTAATTCTGTCAAAAATCGAAATGTGCTCCGTGGGACGTATTGGGCTAGGACCATACGTCCGGGAGGGCCCCCATGCGTGCCGCAACGACCCACAGTCTGGTACCACTCTGTTCACGTTCACAGCTCTTAAGTGTGCCATACTCCGATACTGGGGAGGTAGCGCCCGGGCACCGACTGCTCATCACAACGTCCGGCGAAGCCATGTCGGCTGCCGTCGCTCTTCTGACTGCCTGCGCCAGCTGGCTGATCGGCCCTCCATCGCGCGGAGTTGCTTGCACGCTGCGGTCCTCCAATACGCGTATGGATGCTCCGCCGTTGTCGCCATCGCTCGAGTCTGTGGCCGACGGCGGGCCGGAGGATCTTCTCGAGCGGCTCTCAACGTGCCCTGCCGAAGGGCTCGACGAAAAGGAGCTCGAGGCGCTCAAGGCTGCAAGCCTCTGCCTTGAGCCGTGCGGTGCCGACCTGAAGACGCCCTTTGGCTCTCCGCTCACTTTCTTCGGCGCGCTCCGGTCTCCCTCCGAGGACCCGACGCCGGCGATGTGGGATGCAGTCCGCACAAAATGGCCTATCCTCGCAAGCAAGAGCGATGATGAGATGCAGCCGGCGCTCGTGCACATTGCCGCTGTCCAAGTGGACCGGCGCTCGCTGCCAAAGCCCCCTTTCTAGCCCATCTACGCCCATCTTTTCCCTCTAGGAAACCCATGAGTACGTACCATGTTGCATGCCCATGTGCCGCCCGAGAGTCGAGAGATCGAGAGAGTTGGAGAGAGAGATCACAAGAAGGCAAGGCCATATGGAGTACTTTAATCACAAAGCTCTCTAGACAAGAGCGAAGAGGGAGGCGCGCGGCAGAGAGGGCAGAGGCGTTTATGTGGCTTTATCCACATGCGTTTATCTCTTTTGGGGCTCAAAGGCGGTGATCGGCCGGTGACCGGCCACAGAGAGCGATACCCTCCCTGAGAGAGTCGCACACGCTGGCGTACATTCGGTGCGCTCATAACAACGGATTGGGAAATTCAGGCGGCGCGCAGTGCCGCATGGACGACGCCGTCCAGATCCTGTTGGTGAGCTGCCAGCCCCAGTCGCCACGCCTCACCATCTTCACCTCGGGGATGCCGTCCACCTGGACAAAGGTGGCCTGCGGCGTCTCGCGCAGCTGGAACGGCCTCTGCTGGTTGCCAAACGTCGAGCTGCGGTAAGAAAGGATATGGCGCTCTTCCGTCTCCAGTCGGCGATAAGGGAAGTTTGTGATCCGGTCTGCGAACGGGAGGGTTGGGAAGTGAGCTGTGAGCCGCCGCGCGAGGCCGGAGCAGGGCTCATTACATGGCGGCCGCCCAAAGAATTTGACCTCCCATGACTCCACGAGCACCAGGTCGCTGACAGTGCCCAGGCGCCGCCGCCCGTCAACCTCTGCCCACCTGTACTGCTCGCGCGGAGTCATCCCCGAGAGCCTGTCTCCGTAGCAAGTTTCGGGATCGAGGCCCATGGAACCCCACCGCGCTTGGCACACACGCCTCCATATCTCTTCTCCGAAGCTCGGCTCACGCATCAACGAGGCGAAGAGACGACAAACCGCCTCACAATTCAGCAGGTCGGCAGCCTCGAAGTCTCCGGTCAGAAGGATGTGCGAGACCAGCTCGACAGGGATGGCTTCATCCAGGCCGACTGCGGAGGTGCAAGGCGTCACAGGCTGGCGGAGGCCGAGGACCCACCTCAAGCGTTGCAAAAGGTCGTCGGTCGCCATGAGACTCGGCGGAGCAACAGCAGAAATAGCGACGTGTGTGGGCGGTACCGGAGTAGTCGCTCGGTGACCGGCAACAGAGAGCGATACCCTCCCTGAGAGAGTCGCACAGCCTCAGCCGGCGGGTCCACTGTGGTCGCAACAATTTTTTTCTCGGGCGCGAAAGAAGTTGAAAGCCCCCTCGCGGAGCTCGCCCCAGCCAGCCCAGCGTCCGGACAGAGAAAAACCAGGGAAGGGAGTCAGTACCCGTGTGGACTGGAGGTAACAGCAGCAGCAGCAGCAGCAGCAAGCAGCAGCAGGGGAGTAAGTACCTCGCCACATTCTGTCTGGGACACCATACCGCGTTGGTGTCCAGTCCGAGCCTGATGACTGTTCTTCTTCACCTTCCTACATAACTGGTCAATGCCGCCTCTGCGGGCCGAGCCCGCCCAGCAACATTGGTTGGTTGGGGGGGGTGCGGTAGGTAGACAATGTACCTCCCATCTAACCGCGCCTACCCTTTCGTGGGTAATGGGTAGACCTTTCACACCCACCGAGGTCATTCCTCTACCTAGTTCGTGCGTCCTGCTATCGCCCGCCTGCTTTCGTTGCGTTCTCTCAGCGTGGTCTATTGTGCTGTGAGACCGGATGTCCTCGCGCAAACGACCACTCCGCGACGGCGAGCCGGGCTTCCCCTCGGACTCCGCCCCGGCGCCAGCCAACCCGTCAAGCACGCCTCAAACTTCGGCGACCCCGCCCGTCGACCCCTCCACCAATAGCCCCATCCTGCCGCGGCCGCCTCGACGCCGGGCCCCACCACAGCAAAGTCCGGGCGCAGGACCCTCCAATGCGACGCCTCCGCCGGTGCGCGACCTCACACCAGACATGATGCAGGGCGGCGAAGGCGACCCTTGGTCGTCTCTCGTCTGCCTCTTTCTATCTCCCTTCGCAGTCCCTCGCCGATTCTCGCTGCAACCTTCATGCCACCTCGCGGTCGTCCCACTCTCGTCGTTCTCCCTCCTGTCGCTTCCTCCTCTGTCGCGTCGCTCTCCTCTGCCTCGTTCTGCGACGCCGCCGCCGCCTGCCGATCCCTTGCTCTCGCGGCTTCTCCAGCCTTTCGGCGCAACTCTGCCCTCCTCGCGGCATATTTTGGCCCCTCGAGTTCATCGAGCTCTCCACCTCTCATCGCGCAAGGACGACTCTTCTGACGCCCACTGCGATCATTTGCCGCCAAGTCATATCGTTGCTCAGGTCCACTCTCTTTCGAACACTTGTACCTCCACGGTCGGTGTTGGCGCTGGGGTCCCCTTCGGGTGCATCGTTACAGCTGACGATGGGATTACCACTGGTGTTTCGTCCTCCTCGGAGTCTTCTTCCCCGGCTTCCTCCCGTTCGGCTCTACGTTCAGCGTGGCTCACCCTCCATGCCGTGAACAGGCGCTTTATCCGGGCGCCGTATTCGGCGGCCGGAAAATCTTTTTGCTTTTCGCTTAGGCGGCTCCCGTGGTGTACCTGTGTTAGTGCCAGTGCGCGCCAGTTCCGTGCAGCGGCGAGATTCTTTTTTGCTGCCTCTTGCTTCCGAGAGTGTCCACCTCCACCTCGCTGTAGACAAGGCCAAGTCCGACGCCGGCAGACCCAGATGAAGTTGCCACCAGCTCCGGCCGCCACGACAGCCCACGCCAGCGCCTGGGTCGTGGGCGCGCTGCTCAGCTTGTCGCTGACGGTAGCGCCGCCAGCGTTTGCCGCTGCCGAGCTTGAGTACTCAGAGGGTGGTGCCTACCAGGGCTCCAAGATCGGCCAGGACCAACAGTTCAAGGCGGGCATAGGCAAAGGGGCAGAGAAGGCGGAGAACTCGAAGATCCAGGGCGGCGGCGCTAGCACACTGCAGGGAGGCAGACGCATCACGATTACCCGTGGAGTGAACCTGGATAACACAATCTGGAAAGGGGAAAATCTGAAGGGTGTTGCGTTCCAGCAGAGCGTCGTTCGATCGGCCGACTTTGAGGGCTCCGACCTGCGCACGGCCTCGTTCTTCGACGCCGACCTCTCCAACTCCAACTTCAAGGACGCCAACATGGTCGAGACGAACCTCGAGATGGCGGACCTCACAGGCGCGGACCTGACCGGCGCCGACCTGACAAACGCGTACATGACGGGCGCCGTGGTCAACGGCCCCAAGGGTGGCCTCACCAAGATCGACAACACAGACTGGACCGACGCTCAGCTGCGCAAGGACCAGCGAACCTACCTGTGCTCGATTGCGAAGGGCATTCCCTCGTGCCTGCACGGCGCCGGCTGGCCGCGAGCATTCTCTCTTCACACCTGCTTGCCTGAACAGGCGAGAACCCCAAAACGGGCGTGGAGACGCGCATGAGCTTGATGTGCAAGGAGTGAGGCGGGCGCTGATAGCAGTGGCCTCCTTGCTCCTATGAACCCGAGCCGAACGGAAGGACTGGGGGCGCGCGCCGCGGGCCGGGGCGCTCCCCGCCCGCGCCGCCCCCGACATGTCACATGATCGTCCGAGACGCGACACAGTGTTGATAGAGAGTATAGCGACAGATCAAAAAATCCGAGCCGAATAGCGGTGCGTGCGGACACAAAAAAAACTGTTCAGTTTTCAAAGGCAAAAACGCCACAGGCACAGCCTACGGCTACGCCCTCCCCTCACACTGACACTTCTCCCCTATTCCCGTCTTTAGGTTGCGCACATCTCCCAGCGAGCTAGGCACACAGGGCCCGCCGCACACACAAGAGCTTTTTTGTGATTTCCATTTTCCTCATTCCTGTGCGCTGTGGTGTGGAGACTGGAGAGTGGAGTGTGGTGTCTGGTGAGAGAGACACTCTGTTGCAACACAATCACCGACGGGAGTTCCGACCTGCAGACGACGCCCTGCGCCCGCCGCCTCGCCCGCTCCCCGCTGCCCTCGCGGTGCTACTCCTCGCCCCGCCACCGCTTTTGTCCGCCAGGCCGCCGCCGTTCCTCTCGACGCGTTCGCGTCTCCGCTCGTCTGCCTTGGCATGTTGCGCGTCCACGGTGCTCTGCAGGTGCGCTTGAATCGCGCCAAACGGGTCCGACTTGAAGGCGGGGTGGTCGAGGACGTCGCGCATGTTTGCCGTCTCGTCGGCAACGAGCTGCAGCCGCTTCTTCGCGTTCAGGCCGACGCCTGCGCTGCCGGCGCTGCTGCTCGCCGCCTTCTCCTCTCCCGCCGCAAGCATCTCCTCCAGCGATGCACGCATCCCACCCAGGGCGGCGAGCGAGCCGCCGCGCTTCTTCACCTTGGCCTTCAGGGCCGCGGCCTTGGCCATGGCCTCCGCCTTTGACGCGGCCGCCTCACCCTCCAGTTGTGGAAGCAGAGCGTGCGTCCGGTGCTTCTTGACCTTCTTGACGCTCCCGCCCTTGACACCCTCGGCGCCGGCCGTCTTGGGCTTCTTCTTCTTCTTCTCGCCACCGATCTTGGTGCTCGCTGCCTTCTTTGCCATGTGGAGTGGATCCGCGTCGCCAGGGCTGTGGGTTGGCCACTGGGGCTCCTATGGTATCCAACCGCCTTTCTCGCGTCCACCCATACCGCGTTGGTGTCCAATCCGAGCCTGGCTGTTCTTCACCTTCTCACACGCATGCCCCTCCGTTGGGATTGCCAATTTTCAAATTACGGGTAATTTTTACTTCTATTGCTTCAATGTTTTGCCACGCTCGATCCGGATCCATCCCCAGCGATCCCCCAGGTCCCCACCCATCCCCACCCATCCCCACCCATCCCCACCCATCCCCACCCATCCCCAGCCATCCCCAGCCATCCCCAGCCATCCCCGTACGGGCTGGTTCAGGCGGGGGCGGTGGGGCGGCGGAGCCGGTGGCGGACGTGCGCGGCGTGCCTCCTCGAGCTCCTCGTCGTCGCCAAAGTCACGTGCGGCGGCTGCGGCGGCCAAGCCACGCTCCAGCTCGGGCAAGAACTTGACGGCGTTCTTGAGGCAGCTCGTCTGAACTGGGTGGACCACGGCATACTTGGGCAGCTGCGCCTCCAGCCACGCCTTGATGCCCTGCGCGAGGAGGTGAGCGCCACATCGTCCTTTGACAGAGAACAGGTAGCACGCCAGCAGCCGGCCGCCCTGCTTGCCCGTGACGCCGACGCTCTCGTCGTCCTCGTGGTCATCGGTGTCGATGTCAGAGCCGAGCAGCTTGCTCACGATGGCCTTGGGCTCGAGCTCTGGGTAGCGCGTCGCGATCACCTGCGAGCACGTGTGTGCAGCTGAGGGCGCGTGTGCGTGTGTGCTGTGTGCCTGACGCATGCGCGCAGACGCGCGAAGGTACTTCACAACAACATGTACATGTACACAGCGTGCGGCCGACGTGTCCCGCCCCGAGGTCCCCACCCATCCCCACCCATCCCCACCCATCCCCATCCATCCCCAGCTCGCTCTATCACACCCCCCAAGAGAGCCCTTGGGGAAATCCGTTCGCCATACGCTCCGAGCGGCATGCCTGTGATGACGAAGATCCTAGGTAGGAAGGTGAAGAACAGCCAGGCTCGGACTGGACACCAACGCGGTATGGGTGGACGCTGGACAGATGATGACGACACGCACGAGCGACACACAGACACAAAACAGGCTCACAAGACACACAGCCAGCTGGCTGCCACACACCCTGAGTTGGCGTACACATAACTCAGGGCCACATCCTCCCTGTCCCCCCCCCAGCACACACGGTGCCAAGGACACAAACAAGGGCACAACAACAGCACAACAGACGACAGGAAGTAACATGTGAGACTAGAGCAGGCTTGCTCCGTCTCTAGCAATCTCGTCGCCGGCCGCAAGGCATGGACGAGACCGTGTGCGGGGTCATGTGAGGTGTCTATGGACGCCCTCCTCAGAGGCTAGCGGCCTACCGCTAGCCCTAACTCGCACTCACGGGTGACGACAATTCATTGGGTGAGTGTTTGCGAGCAGAAGCGCGTGTGCTAATTCTAGGCCCCACGTCGTGGCACTATGACGGAGTTAGACGTGCGGCCGCAGCGCGCCCGCCGCAGGCTCGGCGGTACGCGCGTGTTAGCGAGAAAGTTGCGGGTAGAGCCATGCCCGACTTTTCGAAGGCGAGGCCTCTGCGACGAGTGCCAGCCGCGCTGCGGAGCCACGCTCTTCGAGCCGCGTCCCGTCGGCACTGCCCCTGAGTGCGTCCCGCCTTGGCGGCACGCACTCGACGAGGACAGTCCGGCCCACGGGACTGTGTCGCGCGCCGGCGACGATTGCGGCATGGTGGTTGCGTGTACGAAGCGAAGATGGCACGACCACCGCCCTGCATCGCAGACCGGGCAAGGAGGGGCCTGCTCCCGTTCCGCGAGGAACAGGAGGCGTCTCCCCCTCCCCCGGCCTGAGCAGCTACGGGTGGAAGGCAGCCCCTTGAGTCGAGGGCGGCGCGACCATTGCGCTGACTCAAAGACCAGAGCTGGCCCGTTCAGTACAGATGGTCGTGCCGCCCCGCTTCCGCGTCGCCCGCTGCCGCGCCGCCCCGCCGCCCGATGATTATTAATTAATAATTAATTAACAAATAAGTAATTACCCCACCCGCCGCCGCGCCGCCGCGCCATGTGTCGCCCGTTGCCTCGCCGCGCCGCCGCCTCGCGCCGCCCGCCGCCGCGCCGCGCCGCCGCCCAGGAGAGGTGTGTGATGCGCTAGCCGTCGCCCACCCTAGGGAGTCTGCCTCTTCCTATCTCTCTTCGCAGTCTCTCGCCGCTTCTCGCTGCAACCTTCATGCCACCTCGCGGTCGTCCCACTCTCGTCGTTCTCTCCCTTGTCATTTCCTCCTCTGTCGCGTCGTTCTCTTCTGCCTCGTCCTGCGTAAGCAACCGTGGTCTCGGGCTCGGGGGTGTTTTTTTTGAGCTAGACTTCGTAAAGAAAGAAAGAAAGAAAACAGACACGCCAAACGAGGGATGGGACGGGGACAGGGTCCCCACCTGCACGAGCAGGATTTTGGTAGACTTCGTTGTTAACAAGCGAAGGCACAGACCGTTTTTTTTCGCACACAAGACAGGGCTGTGCCCCGAACACTGGTCGTCGCGCAGTCAGTCTTCCCGCCGCCTCTCGACCACCCATTGCGCACGCGGCGGGAGTTGAGCGATGCCGGACGATCTCAAATCCGATCAGGAGCCACGAATACCAGAGCCGCGATTACACCGCGACTCGGAGACCAAATCGACGACGCCGCGGAGCTCGCGCAGCTCGTTTGGAGAGGAGGAGGGCGATGCGTGTGACGGCGACGCGGGCGCGGGGGAGGAGGGAATACAGGGCAGAGAGGGCGAAATCGCGAGCACGGGGGCGACGGAAGACGGGCACGGAGTGTCGAGTGGAGGATCACCGGACGGGAGCGGCACGGGCGCCGCCGGCGCGGCGGTGTCTGTGGGGACGGGCGCAGCCGTCTCGCAGAACCTGGTGGCGCTCTTTAGCCAGACGCTGTCGCTCGATGGCGAGGGCGAGCCGTGGGAGAACCGGGTGCGCGAGTCGGCGGACAACGACGGCGAGAGCCTCGTCACCTTTGGTCCGGCGACGGAGGAGGAGCTGGAAGACATTCTGGGGCGGTGAGAGGGCGTCCGTTCATTCATCTTACCTCCCCTCCTCCTCCTCCTCCTCCCCCTTCCCCTCTCCTGGCGCGAGGAGGAGAGCATCAGCAGCTCCCGGGAGGGGGCGGAGGGGGGAGAGAGTTGGGAGGGAGGGAGGGGGGAGAGGCGTGGGCAGCGACGTCTTGACGCGCCCGCCTCGCCCGCCCGCCGTCGCAGGCTGAAGCAGGTTGCTCAGACCGTCGGCTGCGATTGCGTCGTCGTGCACACGTCGGAGGCGGTCGACAGGCGAGCGAGAGGGAGGGAGGGAGGGAGGGAGGGAGGGAGGGAGGGAGGGAGGTGCCCCGCGCGGTTTTGCCTCTCCCGCCCTCGCCCGCGGCCTCGCCTCTCCCGCCCTCGCCCCGCCCGCGCGCCCTCTGGTGTTCCCTCCTCCCAGGAGCACGCAGGACAAGCCGGAGCCCTCTCCCTCACCCTCCTCCCTCACCCTTCTCCGTCACCATTCTCCCTGACCCCTCTCCCTCACCCTCCTCCCTCACCCTTCTCCCTCACCCTTCTCCCTGACCCTTCTCGCACCCTCCCTTCTCAGGGGCGAGGTCAAGCTGACAAGGTACGCGATGGTCCGCAAGCTGCCGTCGCAAGGCGAGGCCCGCCGCACCTCGGCCGCACCTCGCGCCGCTCCCGCTCTCCTCGGCCGCACCTCGGCCACTCCTCCACCTCTTGCTTGCCGCGCCTCCGGCTCACTCGCTGGCGCCTCCTCGCGGCCCGCCCGCGCCGCAGGGCACCACCTCGACCTCCGCGTCGCCGTCGTCGGGAACGTCGACGCTGGCAAGTCGACGCTGGTCGGCGTGCTCACCGGCCCAGTCAACTTCCTGGACGACGGGCGCGGGCTGGCGCGCTCGCGCGTGCTGCGGCACAAGCACGAGGCGGAGGCGGGGACGGGCGGGACACCCGTCCACGGCACGCCCGAGGCACGTCCCATAGGCACAAGCACGAGGCGGAGACGGGGCGGACCTCCTCCATCGCAGAGGACCAGCACATGCGCCTCTCCGCACGGGGCGACTGCCTCGCCACGGTGAGACGGAGAGATGGGGAGAGATGGGGAGAGGTGGGGAGATGTGGGGAGATGTGGGGCGACTGCCTCGCCACGGCGAGACGCGCCCAGATGCGGGAACTGACAGCCGCCTCCTCCAGCTCGCTCCGTGTCAGACACGGAGCCCCCACACTCACGACTCTGGCGCACTCGCGCTGCAGGAGAGGCACGCCAAGCCGTCCGACAGCAGCGCGGCGCAGACGGCGAAGGTGGTGTCCTTCATCGACCTTGCGGGGCACGAGCGCCACGTCCGCACCGCCGTCTACGAGCCTTCCGGGAACCTTCTAGGAACCGTCCCCTAGGCACGAGCGCTACCTCCGCACCACCGTCTACGGCCTGACCGCCCACGAGCCGGACTATGTCATGGTGGTCGTCGGCGCCAACCACGGCATCACCCGCATGACCAAGGAGCACGTCGGCATGGCGATCGCGCTCAACGTGCCGCTCTTTGTCGTCGTCACCAAGGTGGGACTCTGCCCCCCGAGCCATGGACGCGTCCGCCCAGCCTCGGTGGACCAAGCCCCGGTGGACGGGCGGCAGGTGGACCTCTGCCCCGAGCCCGTCATGAAGGAGACGATGAAGCAGCTCGCGCGCATGCTCAAGCTGCCCGGCGCGAAGAAGCAGCCGTACGTGATCCGCTCCGAGGACGAGCTCATGATCGCGGTTCGCTCGTTTGGCCGCTCCGCCGTCGCGCCCATCTTCACCATCTCGTCGGTCGACGGCGCCGACGCCCCCCTCCTACCGAGCTGCGCCTGTGGACCGCGTCTCTTCACGCCCCCTGGCCGAAAGAGTAGGCACAAACGTCCCCCTGCTGCGCCAGTTCTTCAACCTGATGCCCTCGCGCCGCGCGTGGGCGGCGCAGAGCCAGCAGCCGCCCGAGTTCCTCATCGACCAGTTCTTCAACGTGCCCGGCGTCGGCCTGGTCGTGGCCGGCACGCTGCTCTCCGGCGTCGTCTCGCTCAATCACGTCCTCGCGATGGGCCCGAACAACGTGGGCAAGTTCAACACCGTGACGGTCAAGAGCATACACCACATGCGGACGGCGGTGCCCGCCCTGTTGCCCGGCCAGACGGGCGCCTTCGTCGTGCGCTCGCGCACCAAGGAGCACGTCAAGAACTTCGGCGTCCGCAAGGGGATGGTGCTGCTCGAAGGGACAGAGGTGACCACTGCTGCTAGGCCACCCGGCTACGTCTACTCTCATTCTCACGATGATGAGGAGCATTGGCTCGCCCCCTCGCCCTTTCCCCTCTCCCCGCACCCGGCGACTGCCTTGGCGCAGGAGCCTCGCGCGACGCGCACCTTCGCGTGCGACGTCCTCGTCCTCCACTCGCAGACCACCATGCGCGTCAACTACCAGCCGATCCTCTATGCGCGAAACGTGCGCCAGTGCGTCCGGATCGCGGCGAAGACGAGGAGGCCCTCCGGACACCGCGTCCTGGACATGTCCTGGACGTGTGCTCGACATGCCCCATAGGCGATGGACAAGGAGGTCCTCCGCACGGGCGTGCGCGCGCGCGTCACGTTCGAGTTCATGTACCGCCCCGAGTTTTTGCAGCAGGGCACAAAGGTGCTCTTCACCGAGGGCAAGACCAAGGCCATCGGCACGATACGCGAGCTGCTCGGCTGAACGCGGGAGGGGGGGGCGGGGCGGGCGGCACGGTGGACGGGGATGGGGGCGACGGGAGCGGTGTGCTCTCCGCGCCGGTTCGCTGTCCGTGGTCGGACAGCTGTCGAGAAGGGCCGTGGCCCTCTCCCGTCGCCGGCCAGCGCCCTCGCCCTTGCATCCCTCCGCCCCTCGCCCTATCCGCGTAGCGGGCTAGATGACGGGTGCAGGGAGAGCAGCTCCTCTGCTGCTCACACGCTCTGCACAGTTGGCACAGCCTACTGTGCGGCTGCCACAGCTGTCACAGCGATGGGCTCGCCCTCACTGGCCCTCAGTCACTTGTGCTGCGGCTTGTGTGAGCGACACTGCTCGGCGACTCGTGCCGGCACACTGAGAGAGACTGTGAGACCATGGGTGTGAGGTAAAACCACGCTACCAGCGCTTGGTCACATCAGCCCTGAGGTCATATCCTTCTCCTCTGTTGATGGTAACACTTGTCTACTCGCTGGAGCCGAGCAGGAGGGCCCAGCGCACAACCCCTGGTCAACTCACCCTCCACACCCCGTACTGTAAAGCCGTACGCCCTGCGGCATTCTCGGCTCTATCTTGCCCTAGAGTCTGTAGAGGCCGTATGTACGGATTTTCCCCGACACCCCCCACGCGTGTGCTTGACCGCGTACACAGCACACCAGTCCTGTGGCGACGCGGCCTGATCCCTAGGTGGATGCGGGGGCTTGAGACGATGGCCGGATGCCCTCGCTTTCATGAGCGCAGTGGTGCACTCGAGAGCTTCCGCTCGAGGGCGACGGTGTAGGCCTCCACGTCCTCCATTCGCTGCTGTTCCGCCACGTCACGGATGGCAGAGGGATGCGGCAGATTAGAGGGTTCGCGTTGGGTAGGAATAGGCGGGGGTGGGGGCGATGACCCGGAACGCGCGGCTGGCGATGCTCGCAGCGGCCGGCTGGCCTCTCTCTGAGCTGCTCCGAGGGGGCCGAGCCCCCTCCGTCCTGAATGGAGGGCTCGGCGACGGCCCGGTCCCCTTCACCCTTGTGCTCGCGGCGGGCGCCGCCGCCTACGTCGAGTACCTCAGCGGGGAGGCCGCCAATCAGGCTTCGGGGCTTGGCCCAGCGCCCCGCTTGGCCGGCGACTCGGGTTCGATCCTCTGGGAGTGATGGCCGAGGAGGGTGCTTACCGCCGCAAGGAGTTGAGCGCCAACGAGCTCTTCAACGGCCGGCTCGCCATGCTCGCCATCACCGGCTTCGCGGCCCAGGAGTTCCTATGGGGCACGCCGGTCGTCGAGCAGACGCCATTCTTCTTTGGGCGTTGATTGGGGCTCTCTGAGCCGCTGGACCCGCTCGCCGCTGTGCTGAGAGTGCACCCCGTCGTCCAAAGGCACCTTTGGGGTGAGAGTGCACCTTTGGGGTTGCGGTAAATCGATAGTACTAGCGATGACTCGAAAGAGACGATGGACAGACGGATCCACACGGATCCACACGGGGTCGTCCGAGGGCGCACACGATTTGCGCAAGGACTCTTTGCGCAAGGACTCGCACAACGCCAAGGAAACAACCCGCATTTTGGGAACTCTCTCTCCCATCTCTCCCGACAAAGGCGCTCGCGCCGAGTAGGCACTCAGGCCTTCATCTCCGCCATCTCCTTGCAGGTCAGTTTGAGCACGGGCTCCACCTGCGCGTCCTCCATGAAGTCAACCACCAGCGTGGCGGCCCAGCACGGTGCCGGGGAGGGCTGGTGCTGCAGGGTGCGCGCGGCGGGTTTCTGTCGGTCTCCACAGAGCAGGGCGCAGCCGGAGGAGACCGGCCCAAGCGTGTAGCACGAGGCTCCTGCCGGGAGCTGCAGCTGCGCCGTCTCGTACGCCGGGTCCACCTTAGAGCTGCGCTCGTTCGAGAAGCAAACGGAGAAGTCGAGCTTGTGCCGCTCGCGACGGTCAAAGAGGACGGTGGTGACGGTGCGGCGCTGCCTGTAGTGCTTGTCGGCGTGGCGGCGGATGCTGCCGAGCGGCGGGTAGAGGCGGACGGCCTTGTGCAGGCGGTAGCCTGCGCGCCTGTCGAGCGCCTCGAGCAGCCGCTTCAGACGCTTCAGGGCAGCGGTGCCCGCCTTGCCGGCCGCGCGAGAGGTGATCGCCGCCTTCAACGCCTGGTGGTTGCAGGTCGTGTCCTCGTAGATGAAGGAGGACGGGTGCCCGCCCGCCGCGGTGAAGCCGAGACCGCGGGGCTCGAGAAGCCCCGTCAAGGCCAGCGAGCGAAAGAGCTCCGAGAGCAGCCGGCCCGGGAAGGCGGCGTCGAGCAAATTGTGAGGGAGCGTCTCAATCTCGCGTAACGCCGCGTCGTGGATGAGCACGCCGGGCGTGAGCTGCTGCAGGACGCGGCGGCGCCGGAGGACGTGCATGGCTGGTGGGGGTTTGCGACGCCCTTTCGGCACCAACTATCGCCGCGAAATGAAAAAGCAATCTCGTTTCTCTTTTTCATTTCGTTTTGATTTTAAAAAAATCTTGCCGAGGTTGCCCTACCCTCGGCGCGTCTGAATTCGGACGCCTGTGCTACCCTTCACACATGGCCGCCGTGCAGGGGGGCGGCTGGGCGCGGTGAGGCGGGAGCCACCGGCACCGCCCCCAGCGGGCCGGATGATTGGCATCGGGTTGCGGGCAAGAGAGCCCTAGCCCTGGGGGTGCGCGTTCGCAGGGCAAGGGCCGTAAAGTAAACACGAGTCTCCGACCTCCGAGGGTTGGACGGTTTTCATTTCGGGAACTGTGAGATTTTTGAAACTTTTTTCTTCTTCTTCATCTTGTAAAATTCTTTTTAACGTTGACGCCCAACCCCCGACGGGCGCCTGCCTCCGGGCCATGGTCAACGGAGTCCCATCCGATGGCCTACCCTTACCGGATGGCATCGAGCTGGAAGCGGGCAGTGACGTCTATTTCAATGTGGGACCCCCGGCGGATGGATCCGCGCCTCGATTCAGTCTGCTGGCGCAACGCGCCTCTCGGTGTCGTACTGCTTCCGTGGCAACAGGGTGGTAGCGTCCATCACCGCCACACAGTGCAACGACCCATCAGTCATCCTGTTCCGTCCCCCGGCGGAGGAGGACAAGGGCAAGAAGAAGAAGCGGCTGCGGGAGGTGGGAACCGCGTCTGGATACGCGGCCAGTGAGTACACGACCGCTGCCCCCTCAGGGGAGGCGTGGCGCTCACCACTGCAGGCCGGCCGGTCCTGGCACAGGGTGAGCGGAAGCCCGCTCGAGCGTCACAGGCTCAGCAACTTTTGCAAGAAGGCGCTGTCGCACCTCGAGACCTTGTACGGCAGCCTGGACTCTGCCTGGCATGCGGGGTGGCGCTGGGAGGCGGCGCCGCGGGGGATGACAGTCGGGCACAAGCACCTCTTCTGGGCACCAAAGGCGAGCCACCCCTCCAAGCCTAACGGGGTAGTGCCTAGCACCTCTTCTGGGCACCAAAGGCGAGCCACCCCTCCAAGCCTAACGGGGTAGTGCCTTTACGGCATGGGTACCCTAGAAGAGGGTCCCCAGCACTTTGCGTTTCCGGAAATTTCCAGGGAAACTAGAGGGTGTTTGGTGCTCCATTCTGGCAACTCTGGAGTTTCCCTGAGTCTGAGAGCTGGTCTGGGGCAAAATCTGAGGCGAAACCGAGGAACTCGGCAAAATACCCAGCCGCTCGCAGGGTAATTTCCAGGTAGACTCATTTTGCCGCCTGGGCTGATTTTGGATTTCCACGGAGTTTCCTCGGGAAACCAGAGAGGAAACGAGAGGGTGCTGTGGTGGAGAAACACGGAAAGGAAACGAGACGGGGTGCGCGAGGAAACATGGATACATTGATTGGCGTCGGGTTACGGGCTAGAGAGCCATAGCCCCGGGGGTGCGCGTTCGCAGGGAAAGGGCCTTAAAGTAAACACGGGTCTCCGAGGGTTAGCTCCGCGCTCCGGGTTTCCCCTCGCAGCAGACCGCCCCCTCTACTCGGAGCTATAATGAACACCAGACATGAACACGACACGCACTCTCACACTTCGTCAACGCGCAGGGCACCTTCGCGCGGGGTCTTCATCCTCACTCCGGAGGAGGCCCCCCCCTCCTCTGAGTTCTTCCTCTTCTTCGCCTTCCGTGAGCCCGATATTTTTTCTCTCTCTCTCCAAATTTGCGCTGGAGGTGCGGCCACCCTGAGGAGGAGAGCGATGGACCCGGACTGGACACCGCCTCGCGGGGGCCAGCGATACGGCGAGGAGAGAGGCGGCAGCGGCGCTCCGTGCGTGACGACGAGGCGTTCGGCCGCAGCAGGCTCGTCCTCACAGGCGGCGTGGCAGCCGAGCCCCGGGGCCGACCTGTCGAGCCACCACGACGATGACCTCTTCAGCGACACGGACGGCTCGGACGAAAACACGGACGAGGAGGAGGAGGAGACGCCGCCCGCCGCCCGCCGCACGCCGCACGCCGCGGCCGTCCGCCGCCGCCCGCAGGCCGCTGGCAAGCGCAAGGCGAAGGCCGCGCCGGCGTGCGAACAGGAGGATCACAGGGCGCGGGCGAGGGAGCTCGCCGAGCGGCGGCGCAAACGGCACGAGGCACTGCTGCCGCCGCAAAAGGAGCTGCGCACAGCGGAGGCGCGCCGCTTGCGAGCGGAGAGCGAAAGGCTGCCGCAGCCAGCGCCGGACGACGCCGAGGCGTGCGGCACCTTCATGGACTCGGTGCTGGGCAACTATGTCTGCAGCCTGCGCGTAGAGGGCGAGGCGCGGGGCGCGACGGCGAGGGCGGGCTTCACGCGCACGGAGACCCTCGTCGCCGGCATGCCGGTCCCGCCGCGGTGCCGGTTTGTGGCCGGCTGGGACGCAATCAACGCCGCGGCGCAGGCGGCGGCGGCGCGCCAAAAGGAGGCCGCGGCGGCGGAGCTGGCGCGGCCGCCGGTGGCGGAGGCGGAGGGGCTGCGGCTGCGCCTCTCGGGCAGCAACAGCACCCGCTACAGGGGCGTGCGGGGGGTTCCGAATGGCCGCTTCCAGGCCAGGGGTCCAAAGGTGGACGGCAGGTCAAACCTCGGCACCTTCCACACGGCGGTGGAGGCGGCGGTGGCGTACGCGCGGGCGGTCGGCGAGGAGGGGGCGCCCGCGGAGGAGGCGGAGGGGCTGCGGCTGCACCTCTCCAGCAACAACGTCACCGGCTACAGAGGCGTGCACGAGAACTTTGGCCGCTTCCGGGCACAGCGCGTGGCGGACGGAAGGCAGGTACATCTCGGCACCTTCGACACGGCGGTGGAGGCGGCGGTGGCGTACGCGCGGGCGGCCGGAGAGGCCCCAGCGGCGACGTGAGGGTGGGGCGCACAACGCCGCGGTGGCGTACGCGGCGCTCGCCGAGGAGGTGAAGGACCTCAAGGACAACGAGGTCGCCGCCAAGGAGCGCATCCTCGCGCGGGCGTCGGTCAGCTCCTCGTGACTCCGGCTAGGGCCGTCAGATCGCTGATGCACGCCCCCTCTCGCCCCGCGACTCGCCGTCCCTCTCGCTCGGGGGGGCCAACACGACACTAGTCTAAGTCGTCGAGTATCTTTTACGTTTGTCTGTGTTGTCGCCATTTGTTTCTGTCGGGGGTACACATTCCGAGCTCCGTCGCAAAGTTCAGGCTGGCCTGGCGCATTGTGTCGTCCGTGGCGGTGGGCAAGCTCTTTTGCTCGAGGATCCGGGTTACCTCCATGCTGTGCTGACGCATGGGGCTGTAGCGGCAAGAACTCGCCATCGCGTCACACACACGTCGTGCCGGAGCTCGTACGTCCCGTCGCGGACATCAAAAAGTAAAAGATTTACACGGTCGAATTTCGATATTCAAGGTATGTTCGAGAAGATAACAGAACTTTGGTGTTGGTGACGGGTAGCGAGATAGCCAAGGGTGAATGAAAGCACCATCAAGCACCAAGCTGCTCTACGGCCCCGGAATCGCCTCCCCAGGCTTACCTAGCGTCCTAGACTGAGGAGGAAAGAGAGATATTGTGCACCTCCCTGGTCAGTCCCTACAATCCACACACGGACATTTACCCTCCCAGTGGACCAGAGCTCGTCCCCGGTCCATCAGGGACGGCCAGGCGTCACAAACAAGCGACGAGCAAGTCCGACCGCAGAGCACCGGGACGCGGTCGGCGATCTGTGAGGCCCAACTAGGCGCGAGAGGTATGCATCTTGCCCCGGTCGATAACGCAGACCAGTCGAAGAACGAAGGGCTATCAGACATTCACAGATCACACCACCGCACCCCTGACCAGACACCACCTGGTGCTGGACCTGCGACCTGTCTCCTGTGGACCCACATGTACATGTTGTTTGCATCAACAAAAGAACACAACTTCACGCATCATTCGGGGCCTTGATTTGCCAAACATACCTACAACATCAACAAGGTTTATGCTCCTCTTCAGAAGAAAATACCGCTCGACCGGACCTCAGAGTACAGCATTATTTTGGGGGATTTGTGCTCTCTGGCCATCATGATAAGTATCATGAGCGCGCGCAGCAGAGTGGGGCACATGCAGGGCCCTGTTCTCCGAGAGAGACAATATCCATGGCAAGCGTAATGGACAGGCGGCCTGCGCCTCGCTGTGCGCCCATGTGGCGTGGCTGGTGAGTCAGACGAGGCGCTCAGAGGCTGCCTCGCGCTTTGCGCCGCGTTCATGCTCCGCTCTCACAGCCAGATTTCATGCCGTGACTCCGATCTCAGATCCTCGCTTTCTTGGCGAGCCAAGGTGCGGTTGTACTGCGGACCATAGTCCCAGCTCTTCGTCGGTCGCGATTCCCCGTTGCATGCGAAGGAAGAGGCGCACGTGCGGGACGGCGCACCCCGCGGCTGCCCACGTCACGATCTCGCAATTGCAGGGCGTCTGCTCGTCGCCGCAGTTGGCAAAGTAGAGCGCGAGGCCGCCGCCGTTGGGCTCGGGCACGAGGCACCACTTGGAGTTCACCCCGTCGATGTCCACAGCGTACCTCTCAAAGAAGCTCGAGGCGTACGCGCGCTCGGCCTCGGCCGTCTCGATGAGGCGGCCCGTCAGCTCGATGAGGTGCCCCTCCGCGAGCGGCGCACTCGTGAAGAGGCCCTCGCCTGCGCTGCCGGCCGACGCCACGTAGAGCACATCGTACGGCGCGATACGCGCCGCCCAATCCATCGGGATGGTGGGGTAGGCGATGTCGAAGCAAGTGCCGTCCAGGCTGCGCATGTAGTTGCAGCGCCGGTCAGCGGCGCGCACAGTTTGCGCGCTCTCGGCAGCAATCTGTGCGCCGCCGGCTGAGCTTGAGCCCACACTGGCACCGCCGCCTGCCGTGGCATGCTCGGGTAGGATCACCCACTCGCCGGAGGGCAGCAGCTTCTCAACGGCCGGCGAGTAGTTGCCACTCAGCACAGTCGAGTGGCTGCCGGCAAAGAGCGAGCCGCTGAAGACAAAGGCCGTTGCGTTGCGGCGCGCTTGCTTCAGCGACGGTGCCGGCTGCCAGCCGCCGTCCATCGTCAGCTTCTCGACCGTGCTGAGTGGCTGACCGTTTGAGCTGGCCCCGCCGATGACGTACAGATCGCCATATCGAACACCACGGCAGCAGCGTCGCACCGAGGCTCGAGCATGGCCGGGCCTTCGACCCATGCACCGCGGTCGGGGTGGAAGATGTCGCAGCGGGCGAGGCACTCGAAGGTGTCGCCGTCGGCGCTGCTGCGGCTCAGCCCGCCAGCCACGATCAGCGTCGCGCCGAAGCTCGCAACCACAGCGTTGCTGCGGCCCAGAGGGATGGGCGTTGGTACGCCGTACCACGTGCCGGGCAGCGACCCTGCGAGGTCCCAAGGAACCGGGGGCGCCGGGATGAACACGCACATGGCAGCGAGCTCGTCGGTGGTCTCGGGTGGGTGCGTGTTCGGCGTGGGAAAGAGCAAGCGCTTTTGCGAGCGAAGGCCGGCGTTGACGGCGTACAGGTTGCCGTTGAGCGCGACGAGGGCCGGCATGAAGGAGCCACCTGCGACGAGGTCCTCACCAGCGGCCGCCTCAGCGGACTGCCACGACGACGACGGCTGCCACGTGCCCATCGCCGGATCGAATGCGCGCAGCAAGAGAGTGTCCTCAAGTCGAGGCGCGGCCTCGCCCTCGGAGACTGAAATGGCAACGCAACCTCGAAGGACGAACATGCGCCCGTCGACGACCGCAGCGCGTTCACCGCGGACTGCGTGACGCCGATGTCGAAGCCTCGCGGTGCGCGCCCCGACATGAGGAGCGAGAGCAGCCGTGGCAGCGATACGGCGTTGAAGGCCGGTTGGGTGGCCACGAGCAGCTCGAGGTCGCGCCGCGCCGCGCGTAGCGCCTTGGCGTAAAGCTGCGGCACTTCGTAGGTGTCTGCGAAGGTCAGCAGTTGCAGGGCATTCGAAGCGTTCACCTGGCCGCAAAGCTCCGACTCGACAATTTTCAGCAGCGGCGTCACCTGGAAATACGCCGCCGCCTGCACGAGCTCGAGAAGCATCTCGAGAAGCATGTCATCCTCAAACGGGAGCTCCACTTCCGACATGTACATGAAGCGGAGCACGGCTTCGAAGATGTCGGCGGTAATCTCGGGCAGCGTGACGCTGCAGGCGTTGCTCTCCTGCACATGCCGCAACTGAAGAGATTCTGAAAGTACGGCGAGGCAGAAGCGAGCACGACGCGGTGGACTTGAAAGGCGCGGTGCTGCACATTGATGACGGCGTCGGTGAACTCGCCTTGCTGCTGCCGCGTCCACATCTCGCGTGCATTCTCCGTCAATTTGGGCGATTTGAGAACCAAGTGCAGCGGAGGACGGGCGGGGCCGGTGGCGGGGGCCGACTTGCGCGCCGCCTTGGTGGCGAGCTGCCTGCGGGGTGCATCGCCGCCGGTGGACTTGCGTGCTGTCTGCTTGGTGCGTGCCATCCGTCAGAGCCTGGCGGGAAATTTTGGGGAGTCGTCTCAGTCTCACGTGAATTCGTCCCTGTCTCACTCTCAGCGTCTCAGCGGTGTCTCAATAGATCCATCACTCCGTCTCACTTCCTCTCACTTCCGTCTCTGACTGCCTTCTCGTCCGTCTCAGCGCGGCAGGCCCGAGAGTGCCGAGATTGCCCAAGATAACCCGTGCAACCTCATGAGGTGGTCGGGGCAGTGTGGCAGGCGCCCGAGAGTACCCGAGATCGCCCTCGTGATGTGGTCTGATGTGCAGTGGTCACCTCGGGGCAGTGGCAGGAGCCCAAGCACGCAACCTCGGGCAATCTCGGGTATTCTCGGGCGCCTCCCACTGCCCCGACCACATCACGACGTTGCACGGGTACTCTCGGGCAATCTGGGCACTCTCGGGCACTCTCGGGCGCTCTCGGGCGCTCTCGGGCACTCTCGGGAGCCTGTCGCGCTTGAGACGGACGAGAAGGCAGGAAGAGACTGCAGTGAGACGGAAGTGAGACGGAGTGATGGATCTATTGAGACACCGCTGAGACGGCAGGAAGGAGAGACGGAAGTGAGACGGAAGTGAGACGGAGTGATGGATCTATTGAGCCACCGCTGAGACGCTGAGAGTGAGACAGGGACGAATTCACGTGAGACTGAGACGAATCAACGTGACGCCCAGAGCCTGGCGTCGAAGCGGGTTGTCGGATTCTTTTATCTACCGCTGTTTCTTCCCTCCTCGCACCAACCGGGGCCCTCCACCGGCGCTTGGCTGAGCGCCGTCCACGAGACAGACATATATGCCTACGCCTCCTCTGGCCTGCGCCGTGTACATCTCCTCGGGCCTGCCGTCGATCGCCGCGCGGGCCTCTGCGGCTGCACGCGCCGCCGCGGTGCCCGGCGAGTGCGCCGTCGTTGACACTTTCTGCGATGCCGCCTACGCCCGCTCCTCGGTGAAGCTAGTCGGCTCAGCTGCGCCGCTCCTCCGTGCAGCACGCGCGGCGGCGGAGGCAGCACTCTCGGCCGTGGACCTGTCGCTCGAGCCTCACCCGGCGCCACACCCGAGGCAGGGCGCCGTCGACATGGTCGCCTTCATGCCGCTGTCAGAGGAGCGGTGCGAGGCCATCGCCGGGCAGCTCGAGTCGTGCGACGACCTCGCGTGGCAGCTGGGAGCGAGCCTCGGTGGGCTGGGCGTGCCGGTGCTCATGTACGGCGGGCGTGCGGGCCGTTCGTTGCTGGCGACCCGCCGAGGCACCTCCTTCTTCGCCTCGACCCGGCGGGCGGCGCCGCGGGAAGCTGCGGCGGAGCTGCCGTTCGACTTCGGGCCGGAGGAGCTGCCGCAGCGTAGTGGCGTGAGCATCGTCGGCGCGATGCCGTACGTCACAAACTACAACATCCAAGTCGAGGCGGCGACGCTTGCCGACTGCCGCGTTGCTGCGGCCGCGGTGCGGGAGGAGTTTGGGGTGCAGGTGATGGCGCTGCCGCACGAGGAGGGGACGCACGAGATCGGGTGCAACCTGCAGGCGGCGCGAGGGCGCGACTCGCCGCCCACCCGCCTGGTGCTCGAGGCGGTGCGAGCGAGCCTGCCGCGGGGGGCGCAGGTGGCGAAGGAGTACGTCGTCGGACTGACGCCGGGCGAGGCGCTGGGCCGCTTCTGCGGAGAGACTGCCGCTCCGCATCCCAACGCGCCGTGGCGGTACGACTGCTCGTTGGACTCGTAGCCGCGAGGTTTACGAGATGGTGATGGTGTCGCACGCACATCAGGGTCACACACGCAGTCGCAGACGAGATGAGCACCATCAAATGTCCATGCTTGTGGTTGTGCGCTTGTGCGAGACAGTCTCAGTTGGCCTTGGGACGCTGAAAAACAAAAAAGCTGTTTCGAGTTTGGAATACGCCGTGTTGGGTGTGTGAGGCGCAGGCGGTCCCCGCCGTTCCAGCTCTTCCTAAGTTAGCCCCTAAGCGACTACCCACTCTCCGAACGGGTCGACGTGTAATCTCTCTCTCTCTAGTAGCTACCTAGCGTTTAACCTACTGTCCACTATATGAAAGCGGTGTGGCCCCGCGTGAACAGCAGGGCCAGCTCCCGACCACGGCGCCGCAGGCGCCTGTTGATAGGTCCAGGTGATAGCCCTGGATAGGCAATGCATACGCCTAGTTGGGCCTCGGATCGCCCGACCGCGTCCCGGTGCTCTCTGTGGTCGGATTTGTGACGCCGCCGCACCGCGCCGCGGCCGGGCCCTCCGGAGGCCGAGGATGGCCGTGACGGACCGGGACGAGCTCTGGGAGGTTTAGTGTCAGCGTATATATTGTAGAGACCAACCATGTGCACAATATCTCTCAGTCTAGCTAAGCCTGGGAAGGCGATGCCGGGGCCGTACAGCAGCTTGGTGGTGCTTCGCCGGCGTGCGTCCCGGAGCGACCGTCCCGGACGGGCGGTCCGGGGGAGGAAAACTCAGGGCAACGCCGACACCGCTCTGACGACTGTTTACTTCAAACAAAGACAGTCGCACGCGCCGCAGCGCGGCGCGTGCGACTGTCAGGAGCGGATCCGTCGCAGTTAGTCGTGTTCACGCCGGCTAGTGATTTCACTGTGGCACAGCTCGCGTTACAAAACCTTGGTTTGACCATTTGCGCAAAAAGGTACATGTCGGTGCCTTCCGGAGGCAGCTGCGACCGCCGCCGAGTAGACGGTGCACAC